ACATAGTTACTAACAGAAATGCCTCTGTGAAGGGTATTTAGCTTAACGTTTTTTCTTGTTATACTTGTAATCGTTTCATCATTCAATCATTTTAACAAGTCAGTCGGACCTCATGGGTTGAACTATTTTCAGATCCATTCGCATGAATCGAAAAGGTTGATCAGTAGTCGATTTACTAGGCAAACCCCCACCAATCTGATCAGTTAGTATATAGTTCAATGTTTCGAAATGTTTAGTCGACAGAATCTTCATTTTTAGATCCACAAACTTTCTGTGAAGTTGACCTGTGTGTAGCTTGGCTGGTGATATAGTACATATGTATTTCTTTTACTCCATATCTGTATATATTTTTTCGGAATATTGTCTCGCTCTGGGTGCAATGTATAGCAGTTAGAGCGAAGTAATTGATTATATTTCCCTAAAGGGTTGCCATGACACCGCACAACACTCATAACCGAATATACATACATATTTGTTTGTACGTATATATATTATATATTTATATTTACTGCTGAGTGCATTTATGTAGTCAGCATGTTTCCTTAATAAAAGTTTGAAACCTCTTTGGAAGTTCTTAGCCATGGTCTTTATTGTTGATTCTTGTCTAGCCAGCCATTGACTGCGCTGCCTGCTTTTATGAGTATTACAGTTACTTTTCCTTGCTTTATCTACGCTGCGCTGTTTGCATCTTCACTAGAAGCCTCTGCTTCCCGCACACAATTCTTCTTCTTYTACTTCTTCTGCTTCTTCTTCTTCAATGTCTGCCTTTTTTTGTGCGCACTTGTTATGTTGCAATTTGTGTTTGCCGCTTTTGTAGATAGATTTGTTGATTGTTCGAGTGGCGAGTGCGTGGCTGATGCGGAGAGCGCTGAGCCGGCAGTGGCAACGGGACAGCGATTGCAGCAACAGCAGCAGTTCGGTCTCTTTAAATGGTTACGCACAAATTCCCACTCAAGTTAGTGGAAGTAATTTATTGTGTGTCCCTTTTGTAACTGGCAATCATTGAAGCGCTTTCTTTGCCCACGTGCACACACACACGCACATAAATATATATATATAGGCACATACACAAGCTTATACAGCGCTGTGTGTTCGAATGCGCAGGGCTGTATGGTCGGCTGGAGCTTGTGAGCGCGCATCCTTTACTCGCTCGGCCTTAAATACTCGGCACTTGCTTGTGTCGAATGTCGAACCAATTGCCCATCCGTTCTTCATGCAAAGCTTTTGTTTGGCTTATTTAAAGCTTTATTGTTTCTTCGCTGTTCGAGTGGAAGCAAAACTATGAAACTAATAATAGTTACGTAATGTTGAGCAGCATGATAACGTTATGGCTATTGCCTGCTAGTTTAGATCATCTTGTTGTTGTTGTTGTTGTCTATTGCTCTGTTATTATTGTTGTTGTTTTCAGTAAGGGTCAGGCGCTGGAATGTGGCACTTTAGGCATTGCATTATGTATTGCTTCGTACTAAATATATATACAGCTATGAACACATGTATGCGCAGATAAACCGTTATTTATATACTTATATATAACTTTAGTTGAATGTTGGCCAATGAGCACTTTCCGACCCTGACCCTGACTAATGCCCAAACCACTCAACTACAAACACGCCATACATGCATACGTGTACGTGTGTGTGTGTGTTTGTTGCATATGGCACGCGTGCTGCTGGATAAAGTCAAGCGAGTCCGTTTGAGCAATAATTGACCGTGTGAGTTACAAAGTTGTTTTTAATTTGAATTGGCAGGCGGATAGTCATAATTGTTGGCAAACTCACTCATGTGCGCAATTCACACAAGCATACATATGTGCAAACATCGGGTATATTTATTATATAAATGAAAGCAAATAATTGAATTAAATTGAATGATGAAATGTTTATGCGATTATTATTATGTTTTCTTGCTGAAAAATTAGAGTTTTAGTTGAAAGTTGAAAGGAACGCATTGGGCGGCTGGGGCGTATGAGCAACCAGTAGCCTTTGTATGCCGTGAAAGTGGGCATGGTTGTTGCATAATTGCAGGAGTACGTAGTATGTTGGAAAAATCGAATGAAAAAAGGGGCACTTGCTCGTATATTTGCTTTGGTGGTGTGAATTTCTTGCCACATAACTTTAAAGAGCACCTGGGCGCTTTAAACATTTTTGTACAGATTTTGCCATTGTGATGATTTAACTGTGAACTTAATTACTTTATTTAAAGAAAATCTTTATTACAGTTATTGCAGACGCCATCTTCTCAAACCTGTGAAATATTTCCTTACGATTGCTATACGTTTTCTCTAAGGTTGTTCGTTTTCTTCTTAAGTTCGATCAATTCATGTCGAATTTATTGCTCAACAGAGAGGGGCGAAAAGGATTTATCGAAATTTTGCTTTCATGTTTAGTGTAATCTAATATTGAAGGTTGAAAAGAAGGTCGTTTTTCAGGCACGATTTTTAAGTGATTGATTTTGCAAAACAATATTTTTTATGTGTGTAAAAAGTTAAAGGAGAACTAAGGGAAAACTTCGTTAAATGCGTTATAGATCTCCGATCTGAACGAACGAACGAACTGGATTTGTCCGCAACAAGCGCGGCTGGTCAGTTGTCTCCGAGCACCTGGTGAGTCAGGACAAACATTTTCGCGCGACGTGTTTCTGTGTGTGGTGCAAGAGGAAAATGCAGCGTTCGTTAGAGCAGAGATAAGCGATTAAAATCTGTGTGAAATTCGGTAAATCTGCGACAGAGACGTTTGACATGACCAAACAGGCTTACCCAGATGTTGCTTTAGCAAAAAATTTTGTATTTCGGTGGCACCACGCTTTTATATATTGGTTTGAAAGTTGTACCATTATCTTGTGGGATAATTTACGCAAAATTTTGTGTAGATAACTTGTCAAATATGAGCTTAATTTTGATTACTGAGTTTTTACGGCAGCTGTAACCTATAGTGGTCCGATATCAACAATTCTGACAACAAAAAAACTACCTTTTTGAGGAACCAAGAAGGTGTGAATATTTTCAGTTCTATATCTCAAAAATTGGTTAAATCGTCTCAACTCTACATGCAAATCATTTATAATCTCTACATCGTTTCTCTCTGGATGTTAAAGACATATTATACCATGTTCAAAATAGAAAAATATATTAAGAACGATTTTAAAGTCAACTTGTGAAATTTGAATAATAAAGGCTCTTTTTTTTGTTTTTTTTTTTTGTTTTGTGTTTTTGTAAAACGACATTTTAAGCAGTCATAGGGGCCATAAATGAAATGAATATTAGTTGATTTGATAGTGGTAAAACTCTGCGGTATCTCGATTTCTCAATAATCAAAAGCCTACTGTTGAATATTTTTTCAAAAATTTTCGCTTATATCTGCAGACTTTTGTTGAAGCTGTCGTTAGATGGTAGGTCAAAGTGCGTTCCTTAAGTTTTTGTAGTAAAATTTAAAAAAAGTAATTCCACTAAAAATATGAACTTTATAAGTAAATAGACTTCCTCTAATTTTTTATTTACTGCTTCAGCCGTAAACTCTTCTGGTTACATTGCATGTGGATCACTCTTTAATTTAAACCACTTTGTTGATTTGTCTTTAAAGCTTACTTCAAGTAGATGACGTCACCATCACATTGTCTTCGTGTATACTCAAACACTTTTTAAAAGACGCTGTCTTCCTAACGGCCATCATTACCATCATCACTAAAGACGAAAGTCCAGCATTACTATAAGCTATTTGCTGCTCCTCTTCATCCATTGACCACTCAAATCTAAGTTTCTATTAATACATTCCAATCCACACACAATGACAATACCATCAATAGCAATCCACATACATACTGCACCCAAACAAGCAACTGCGCAAAGTGAATACAGCTCTTCATATCAGTGTGCAGCTTGTCTACAGAGCTATTGAAATTGATAATAATTTCCAATATTTGCCTTCATTTGCACTGAATCATACAAGTATGTGCATCAACACTCATCGCCAAGTAAATACAAATAGCCAAATATATAGTGAAGCATAAGCACATATGTAYATATGTAAGGTACCTGATCATTCATGGTGGAGAGCTCATTGTCGCCCACATTTGCATCGGCGAAGCTGCGCCCCGCATCGTTGGCATAAAGTGGATCGCCGCCAATTACTTCAAGCAGGAAATATTGCGTGAGACCACCGTCGTTGCCGGCTACACAGACTACTTCCAAAACGGTGTCGTTGCGCAGTTCGCAAGCCTTTGGCGCCTCCGGTGGATCTGTAAGAAAGGCGTGGGTGTGGAAAAATAATTAATTACAAACACTTCGATAGCATATCGAAGTCATCAATTCGTATATATATGTACATATATGTATATTTGGGTGTAAACAACAACAATACCAAACTGATTAAATTTGTGGTTATCTATGTGTTGACAGTGCACAAGCAACTATATTAACGGTGCGTAAGTAAGAGTGAGGGTCCCTGTAGGGAAATTTGATCAATTATCTTAGTAAAATGTTGAAATATATACAAAAAAATTTCAGCAAAAGATACTCGTCTTTCGAAAAGATAAGCGGATAAAAAGAACTCGGAGGACGGATTTTTGTGCTTTTGAAGCCACCGGGTTGTATTTGAAGTAATGTACAGCTGTTTTCAAACTATACTAACGTATTTATAAAATTTACTACTTTTTGTATGGCAATGCTACAATTCACACCGTTAGCAGAGCGTCAATACTAGCGTTGAGCTCGCTCAGTTTATGCTCAGAAATAGTCAAGCTTTGTCAGTCCTCATTGGCAGCAAGGACTTTGTCTTCCGTTGTTCAAATTTTGCAAGACTGAGGTTGGAACAGTTATATAATAGAAATTTTTTGCAGTTTCAGAACGCTTTTTTTGATTTTTGAGAGTCATTTTGATCAATATTTATTTCGATAGTACTAATGAACCGCCGTTTCTAGCTATCTAAATGAGATGCGTTTTTGAACCAACTTATTAAATTAAGCTAGTGTTGTAGTATTTTACGCGCTGTAAAAAACGGAGTCCAAACTGTCGGAATTAACTTTAGAGGTCCGCTTTCTATGTTCACTTTTCGTATTATCACAATCATTTGATTAATGGTTATGCATCAGACCACAGTTTCCGGTAAGTTTGAAACGTAAGATAACTAGAATTTCTAAAAGCTTCAAAAAGTGTAAGAAAGTGATTTCATTAGGCAACTTCAAAATTTTCTAGACCAAGTCTGAGTATCATATATCAGCTCCATTATCTACGAATGAATCATTGAGGCTACGGAGAGATGGCTATCTAAATCCAAATCTTGTGTAATATTTTTGTTTAAAAGAAGAATTAGTACAGGTTAAGGACTGTACTTGCATAGTAGAAACCTCGATCCTTTGACGTACCAAAACTTATAGGTATAGATCAAAGGACCACCGAGTATCGATGCGTTGTTTTGAGCCTTTCGGAAAGCTCAAAATTTGTCCAGTTCTCCAAAGTTATGTCCAATAAGCTGTCTCAAGCGCAGTCTATAGAGATCTGGGTGTATATTATACAAACAATTTTCAACAAATCTCTAAAAGAAAAGTGAAATGAAACCCTGAAACTTGAGTAGGTAGAGAACATCGGACAGAAGATTCAGGATTAAAAATAAGTTTTGAACCAACTCTCTTTTTTTTCTCTCTTCTCTTGTCTTTCCCTTTCTCTCTCTCGCATTTTTCTCTTCTTTTCATTTGCAACTTTGAAAAAATACTTAAAAATTTATATAATTATCGGTTTTGAAAAATTYTTCGWATAATTTCATGACACTAATTGCTTTCCTACAAACTGCTACTCAATATTTTAGAGAAAACCGGTAAGGGCAGACATATGCATAAGTATGTGTGCAAACTCATTTCAGATGTGTGCGTGTGTGTGAAGCAACGTTTGCATTGAAATTCACCAAGAATTTGAACTGCTTGTTGCAAGCGCACTCGCCACAGCAATGTGCCATTCAACAAATACTCTAATGCAACAACTTGTTGTTATTGTTATTATGCCATTGTGTGGCCGAAATTGCAATTCGGCAATGAAAGCATTAAAGCCGAAAAGTAAAAAAATAATTTCTAGAGATAAACTCATGAAATGCCAACTATCAAATTGTGTTGGTTTCAACTTAAATGTCCTTTTCAGCCGCCGAGACAACCTCGGGACCTCAAACAGCCGCCCACTCAATCGTAAAGCTAGTGTGTCGCACCCAGCTGACCGACATTTAAACATTAACATTTACGAGCCAAATTGCCTTGAGAGCTTAATAAGCAGTTTGGTTTTGATTGCCGTAGACATTTTTGTAGAATTCTCAACCGATTACATTTTCACTTCACTTCAATTCGATTCAATTTCACACTTACTTGCTGGCAGTATATGCACCAGGCAGGGGATGGTCTGGCGTCCCACCGAGTTGCTGGCCCAGCAGGCGAGCGTTATCAGCTCCGAGTCGGTCTGCGGCAGATACGTAACGGTGCTGACCAATCCATTCGAAGTGATTCTCGAATTGAGCACCTGCAAAGTAGAGAGCAAAGGAATATTTTTAGAAATGCGGCTTCATGTTTATATGTATATATGTGTATGTGTATGTGTGCRTGYACGTTGGTAGAATTCTCATATGCGCCTCAAAGCGCACAGATTTAAGTTTTCATCCTTGTGTGAATGGAGTTATTAAAATAAATATTTATTTTCCATAAATATGAATGCGAGTGTGTCGTTCTAAATATAAGCACTTGTGGATTTAGCATGAAATATCTGGCAAACTCGGCGCGCACAAGTGTTGCCACACGAAGCAACATAAAAGAGAATCAGTCAGAAACGCCCACAAACAGAAGGAAGTAGAAGTAGAAGTAGACACGGCAGCTGCAGTAGTGCTGATAGCACCCACACAATTACGAAGAGCTGAGGGGTTTGGGTGCATGAATATGTGTGTGTGTTTGGATTGTGCACAGGAAGGAATAAATAATTTATAGTCGCACAAGTTTATTAGATTTTCCTGTAGTCACGTACGCTGCCGACTGTCTCGTGTGTCGTTGAGTTGTCCCCACTCTTTCACTTCGGCGGACTGAAATTGAATACCTTAGTACATACCTATATATTAACATGTATATAGACTAAGTGCAGTGTTGCATGCTGCACCGATGCCAGCAAGTGACCACGGTAGCGGACAGTTGGGAAAGTAGAAATGGCGACGCTTGCGGTGGCTGGCTTTGAAGTAAGCCAGACTCAAATAAAATGGAAAGAGAAAGAGTCGCACTTTTATTTAGCATTCTCGAGAGCATGTAAATATGCGCGTGCATGCAACGAGAGTGGGCGTGACTAAAGCAGTGCTGGCGTCAAAGTTGCAAACACAACAGTGTAATTGAGTCCCGAAGGTGTTGCGCTCGGGGATTTGTTGAAGACACGCAGGTGTAAGTTGCAAGCATAAATGGAGTTCTTCAGCGAAAGTCTATTTACTTATATGAACAGCGAATGTTTAACTAACTGTGGCAGCGCTGACAACAGATAATAAGGAAAATGGAAGGTTAAAACGTGCGTGAAAGCTATAAATAAGAAAAACGTATATATTATATATATATTTCAAGACTTGTGGCTTAATCCACAAGGAATTGAGTTACTTTCATTTTTATTTATTTACTTGTGTTTGTATTTTTAAAGAAAAGTGAAATAAGTTATTTTTAGTAGTCATGGTTGGCACGTGCGGCCCAACTACGCGATTTTGCATTTGGAATAAAATGCAGGGAAAGCACGAAGGCGTCAAATGAGTTTAGTTTAGTGTGTTGAACCAATATATTGAAAAAAATAAAACTTTTTTTAAGAGGTCCTAGCCTAATTTAATATTTTGGCAGTTTTTAGACATTTGCGAAAAAATCAACTGACCCTAAATTAACTAGTTGGTAACTAGTTCTATAAAAAATCTGTGGTTTTTAAGATAATCATAGATAAATAGCATAATGTTTTAAACTAACAACAATTTGCAACATTTTCAATATATACAAAACCTTTAGTCCAAAATATATAAATTAAAGCGCGTATCTAATATGTAAGTAGTAAAAAAAAAATTTTGGTTTGGGAAGGAAAATAGGATAAAAAAAAATATTGTAGTATAATAAAACATGGAAAATTATATATGTATATATAACATTTATTCCAACAAATTTATCCAGTAGAAGAAGTATTTAAACTTGATTTGGGAATGAAACAGGAAGTTAATAATAAAATATTGTAGAATAATAAAATATTTAAATATACATATATATTAATATATAGTTGAAGTAATACTTAAAAATAGTTCGCAGAAAAATATTTCCCTCGACCAAAGACTATCTCCCGTCTGTAATCTTGGAGTTCGGCTACAGGGTCAAGGGAAACCAAAATAGTTATTTATATTTATTAAATAACATGCTTGTCAAAAAAATCAAAATCACCAAAAACGCATTTTCCTGACTTGCAATTATATATAACCCTCTCAAGTACCAGAATCATCTTTCGACATTTTTAACCACTGCTAAACAGTTATAGAAAGAAACATAAATACCTCCCCCTCCCCATTTCATACCAGCGGTAAATATCAATAATTGATTGGAAACAAAATTTATCCACTTAGTGAAACATGTCTACTTTATGTGACACACACACACACTTACAAACAACTGAAATGAAATCAACATCATACTAACCGGCGACACATTTCTTGTGTTGTTGTAGGTCCAACTGAATTTCACCGAGTCTGGCGGATCCGCATCCACTTCGCATTTTACCTGCACCGAGTGCATGTTTAGCGCGCCGATTGACGTTTGCTCGGTGCCCGGTCGACATCTGGGCGAGTCTGCAATTGAAGAGGAAAACGATTTATGTAAATGTCTTTGATTTTTCGTGCATTTCAAAAAAGAAGGAGCAAAATGAACGTAAAAAAGAAACACAACAACAACAAAAATGCACAACTAAATGGAAACTAGACCGTTGCTTGTGGCGCCCAGCATGCGAAGAAGAAGCATCAGCAGCGGCGCATCGGCGCAGCGTTGTTGCATCCGCTRTACGGCTRACATTGCGGTTGTCGACTTGCGGTTGCTGGCAGCACATACACATATAATATAATATGGCGCTCTACTCATTGGTATATATGTATTTAGGTGTATATGCAATCAAGTTGTGTTTGGTTTTCTTCGAGTGCCTCAAGGCGAGTAATTAACATGGTTCAGTTCGGTGTTGTGGTTGTTTTCCTTGCACACACATACACGCATATACATCTATATGTTTATGTGCGTGTCTGCATTTTCAAGCGAATGAGCTAAGCTGCTGAACACATTTACTTTCGCATGAAGCTATTTCTATATAGTTTCTGCATTTAAACGATACTTTTTGGTTCACAACTACATTAGGGCGCTCGTTATATCTCAAGTTGTTCGGTTTTATACAGATGCCTCTCTAGTTTCAGTTTTTACTTTAAAAAATTATGTATTTTGTGTATTTATTATTTTCTATTTAAATCGTACYTAAATAATATTATTTTCTCCATAAATTTAACACGAGATTTTTTATATTAAAACTTTGTAACTTAAAACTAAACTTACAATTTTCAAAATTGCATATTCTTATACGAAAGTTAGCACTCTACAAAAAAGGCCTGATTTTTTTTTCATAAAAATAATGCCTTAAAAGTTGGACACGATTGAAATTCTGCTGATGATAAATTGATAATTGATACCTGTGCCTTTTAAAGTCCACATTGCTCATACGCCCCGGTGTACCTGCTTGGGGCTTTCTAAAATTCTCTAACGAACTGCAGTTTACGGGAAGAAAACTTTAAATGCTTGTTGTTTCAAGATTACTTGAAGGAATTTCTCGGTCTTTGATCTTTGCAASTTGCTAGAGTATAAAATTTTCATTTTACCCGAACTTATCCCTTCCTTACTTGTTTTCGTTGAAAGCACTTAATATACATTTGAAAAATATTTTATGCTTCTAAAGCTACCAAGAGCCATTTAACATGGATTTTATTTTAGTTTATTTTGTTTAGATTCATATAATTTTTGCAGGTGTGAATCGGAATTATTCTCGAAATAATAAATGTAAATCCGGAAAAAACATTCATAATTAATTTGCAATTTCACTCCCTTCCGGTTCTTGGCTTCAGATCGCCGGCATCTAGCTTTTTCCTTAGTTTTTTCCCACTGCTATTATTATTTTTGTTTCAAAATTCTTTACCCAATAGTTTTGTTCAATAGTTCTGTAATATTTATCGGTATGCGACTTAGCCATTTTTGTTCATAACGCCCAAATGTATGCAATGCTTATTTCAATGAACCGATTTACAACTGAGGTCGCTATAGTTACTGGTACATACTTTCTAGAGTAGTATTCTACTTAAATGCATTTTCCAACGTAAAAAAAGCAATTTAATGACGCCAGATTCTTCTCATAGCGGTAATTAAAAATGTGCTATGTAAGCTTCTGCAAAAGAAACTTTGCGATCTTATATCATTAAATATTAGTATTTGGTCTTGAAGTAGACACCGCTCTCTGACCACTAAGTATACAAAAATTGAAGTAAGACATCTTACTGCCAAATAATTAGAAATCTTCTCAGCGTAGATTTAATACAATATTATTTGTTTTATTTTTCGTTAATTATTTTCAATTATTATTTTTATGATTTTGACAAATATTTGTATGTATTTACGCATAATTTTTCTCTTGGTAATGCTATAATATGTTTAGTACAAATTCGTAAAAATAATAACGGATTACTTAATGAAAAGTTTCCTCCCTACGCCCATAAAGCAAACAAGTTACGTGCCATACATATCTACCTATGCCTGCACTCAACTGTTAAATCTTTGCTCTCTTAGTTTTAAGCGCATAGCGGCAAACATATATTATAACGTTACCGTTATTATGAACAATTTATACATGCATATATATAAATAKATATATMAACTCTAGTAGAGGGGACAGCGATATTGTAACTAGCACTAGCAGTAGTTTAGACCTCACGRATTGGAGCAATTTCCACAGCCTCCACTGTTAAGTTTATATGAAAGTTTATATATATATACTCGTATTTACATATATATAAGTATACATACTCACATACACACATGGAATGCACGCAAGAAACGGCCGCCTGCATCTCATTGCGGAAGTCATTTACTAGCACTTAGCCGCAGGGTAAATGCATTTCTGAGTATCTGTGAACCCTTTTCAAGTTTCGCAGTTAAAGAGGACGTAGTGTGCCTCTATAAAGCATTGAAGCWACATATAGYACATACATATACACACAAGTACACACGCTCATGTTCAATCGTAATCGCTTATTGAAATGTATTTATTATTTATATGGTGATTAAGATAATAAATCTATGAGGATTTCGGGGAAACAAATCTGTATGCTATATTCTGGCAAAACACACTCGAGTTCACATTTAATTTGCAATCGTATAGGAGAGCCAAAAATAACAGAATTCTGAGTTTTTGGGTACCGAGTTTCTAAGATAAATTAACATGTTTTGCTGTCAGCAGTTATAACTTAACGAGCGCACTGACAATATCAAAACCCAGTTAAGGATACTGCTTGGCTAAAGTCTCGAATATCTTTGAGTGTTAAATATGTGAAAATACGAGAAATTAAAAGTGCAATATTGACTGAAATAACATACATTACTAGTTTGTATCTGGGTAAAGTGAGCTAAGTGAGATCTTAGTTAAAATTAATCGATTTCTAGATAGCAACTTGGGAAGGTTGTRTGCCATAATTAAGGAATATGATATTATTTTAGAAAATCTATTGATAAAGTTTAAAAAATGTATATTTTTGTAGTTTTCTAAATAATTTGCACATATGAGGTTTTCGTCTTAGCTCAAGTGTGCCTAAAGGTAGGCAATGTTTTTTGTTTTTTTCATTTTGAAACGAAAAATGTTGTCTCTAGTCTCAGCTTTCTTGGCTTTATTACTAAGCAGGAAGTTTTTTTTATTACTATAGAAGGTTTGTGAAAATATATTTTACTGTAAAAAGCATAAATATGGGAAAGCAAAGAAAATAGAATTCGATCGAAAAATAAATGGCTAAAGTGGAATGTCTACATCAGTGAAAATTTCATTTTAAATTGTATATAATCAAAAAGCCTTGAATATTTAAGTAAAAAAATAGCTGCAGAAAAAAGGTACATGACTTTGCTAAGAAAAGCCCAAATGTAGGCAASGTTTACTTACATGWATTACTRAAGACCTAATACCTAAAKAAATCATTTCAATCAACGCTTGTAATAACTAATTCTGAGCTAATAGTCTCGAAGTAAAATACATTTAAGTTTATATTCAGAAGAGTACGTATTTACTGAGTCATATAAGTCGCGCTTGCTGGGTAAAATATGTAACTACACGCTCAAAACAAAGCCCAAAGATGTACTGAATTAAACCAACAATAAAAAAATAAAAAAAAGAAGCAGAAAAAACGATAACTAATGGCAAAAAGCCGAAATAATGTCAACAAATTTACCTAAAACAGGCAAAGAGAAAACCGAGAAAAGTTGTGGGTGGAAATAAAGCATAAAATTATCAATGACATTATCAAATGACATCGAATAAGACGTTGTTCCTGCTGTTGTTTACTTCTCTATTTTCTTCGCCGTTTCTTTGTTTCATTGCTGCTTCTTTGCCACGATTCAACAGTATTTTTTAGCACGCGTCACAGAATTCTGTATGTGTGCCTATTGTCTCTCCACCGCCCGTTGTCAAGGCCTCACTTTTGTTTTGCGGTTTCTTGCGTTGTTGTGATTCTTTATTATTTTTTTTTGTTTGCTTGTTTTCCATTTGACTAACGCATCATTTTTATTATTTCTAATGCTGCGCCTTGTTTGAATTTTCATTAATTATTCATGACATTCTTGGTTTACACAGCGCGCCGCGTGTAGTGTGGGCGAGAACGAGGCCGCGGCCAAATCTAAGGCTCGTTGTGGTGGCGCACTGAAATTACTCGTACGGACGGACGGCAACGCGCCACTGCAGCGGCAGAAGTTTTATGAGATGATTCGCCAGGGGCTGGAATACACTATCCGCTATTCACTCATCACTATTCAAATTCCAATTCCAATTCAAATTCGGAYTCGTATTCAAATGTGCTGCCATTGAACTGAAGGCAGTGAAGACACTGGCTTTTGCATATGTTAATCGCCTATGCGTCGTCGGTGGTGGCGGCATTGAGCGCTCTGCTGGGAACCTGAGCTGCATTCACAGCGGCGATGGGTGGAGGATGGCTCAGCACTACATAACTTTAACTTGCGTTTCAGTTTATTCATATGTGTAATTTTTTTTGCAAATAATAAATATTTTTCAATTTCATKCGGCGCTGGATTTCTTTGTGTGTGTGTGTTGTGTTCGCTCATTTGTATTTTTTATGAGAGGCTGGGGACTTGACAAACATTTGTCGAACCTTTCAACTCTTCTGAGATGGATTAGTGTTGATGTGGGGCAACTGCAAATCGCTGCTTTGTTGTGATTGTGATGTTTATATATACACCAGCGAGAAGGGTTGCGTATTTCTTGTTATAATAGACGTTGTGTATAAATTTGTGAGAATCCAAATTAAAATATATTTATAGTATAACAAAGCCCAAAAATTTGTGGAAGGGTAGTGCTATTTATAATTTAATCGACTTTTCGGATGATTTATTTTGCATGTGGTAAGTACTAGCTCTTGYTAAAGAAATATAGTTCACAGTTTTCTAACCATACGTGAAATGAAGACTAAATAGTACCTGATTTCTAKTGAATTTAAGAGGCAGATTTCGAAAGCCGCAGAGCTGGCTGCTGATGCACTTGCAGGCAATTCCAGATTAAAAATCGACATCCAAGTAGCAAWCAAGGCAGTAACCWYGTMTCACATATCACACAAAATTATMTTGGAAARCAGGGCAGCATTTGAAAGTGTGACCAGAAGCAAGCAATTTCATTTCTTCTGGGTGACAGGTTATGAAAGCATCGGAGGTAACGGAGCGGTGGCCAAGATTGGCAAGAATGGTGTATGGCAAACATCCGTAAACGTAATCAACATTGGAAACCCATGCATTGCCTATACGATGGTCTGTACAGAAGCATGGTTAAGAAAATCGAAACCTGATGGAACGAGCCACCTGAATGCAAAACCGATGCAAATGCTTACTCTCCGACTAGTTACCTGTACTACACAAGTACAAGTATTTACGAAAGTCGTTTGAGAGTGGACAAGGAAACCGAGCGAGCCTTATCTCAACTAAATTGATAACTGRGGCCAGGAGGAATGATAATGAGTAGAGAAAAAATTGTAAATCCAATGCTGACACGGTGGTTATCAGCCATTCGTGAACAAACTGAAATCTATTTCAGAGGTGTGGATTCAGAGGCATCTAAAGTGTGGTGTGAGATTTAGTGCGGTGAATAAAAAAGTTAATAATAAATTAATTTTAGCGTACAATTAAAAAAAGCTCGCTAAAATCGGTATTTCTTCTATGATAGCCGGATGCTCAAAAACATTAAAACTTTGAAAAATTATTCAAAAATTGGCAAAAAAGTGCTTTAGACAAATGGAGGAATAGTTTAAGGYACTTGAATTTTTTTAAATTACTTAAATAAAGTACCATATCTAATATTTTTCTTAAATTATACATATTCATATTTTCCATTTATTTTTACGATTTCCATTTACCGTTTATTTATTTATTTTTTTTTTTGCTTTATTTTGTCTCATTTTGAAACATAAAGTCGCGTTGAAGTCGCATGCAAGTTCCCTTGACAATTGTCAAATGCGTGGATTTGTAAAAGCCTCACAGACGCTCACGCCCAATGACGACTTTAAACCCGCGCACTCACACATGCACACAAAATGCAGACACATGCGCAAATAATATGTGCTTATGCCGCGCGCTTGGGTATCCCCAGTCAATATTTATTGAAACACTGCGAATAATTTAACCCACTCCACAGGCGTGATCACAAGAGGATTTGCTGTAAAAACAAAGGGGAGACGACGAAACGCATAAAAGTCCAATACACCATATGCCAACCGCCATATAGACGCTACTCAATGCAAATATGCTGTTACGTAAGTATATATTATACCACTTCTTTTTGTTGTTGCTGAATAATGTTGCGGGAATAAAGCTGTCGGCAGTCAAATCGAGCCGAAAGTGCGTTCGCGTAGGGAGATCAAATGTTGTCAACGGGCCAAATCCCAGTTATCCACACACAAGCGAGCGCACATGCCACGCCACGCGATGTTATGTTAATGCGTTTGTGTATGTGCGGCCGAGGGAGCAAAGATTGGAAATGCTCTGTTTGTATTTTTTGCTTTTAAAAATAAGTACATATAAAGAAAATAATTACCGACTGCTTGGAAATATATTGAAATTTTGAGCCAGGTTTCATATTTGCGTTTCGATTGTTTCCAAGTATCCACGAAATTCCTCAGCGAAGCAACAGAAACAGAGAAAGCGTGAATTTTCATGAAACAATCTGCTATGTACTCTTCTTCTTTCGGTTTAATAATGCTCCACTATTAAATTTCAAGTAATAAATAAGAAAAAGCTTTCTACAAAGCTATAAAGAAGAARAGGATAGAAGTTTCTGCAAACCAAAGGACAACTTTTGCAGCTTATGTAAACAAAAGGAGATATTTAACTTTGGAAAGTAGTTTTTTCCCTCCTTAGAAGAAACTGTTAAATTTTTAAAGTCAGAGCAAATAGGTTAGGTTTTGTTTTAAAAGCGATAGCGATACCTGAAATCTTAACATCAATTGGACCTCAATTTCGAACCACATCAAACAAAAAAAAAACAAAAAAAGTTTAATAAATATCGTGTTTTTCCAGAAAACAATTTCTCATGAGGCTCATTAGCCCTTAATAGGCGGTTACAATTTACTAAGCCACTCTACTTTTTAGTTCTGAATTGAAAATTTTTACTGTCACCGTTAGCTAATAATACTGTTGGCGAGTACGTAAACTATTTCTAAAATTTTTACAAAAATTTTTTACGAATTATAGGTGCCACAACAGACCATTGTTGTAAGCTATGCCCAAGAGCGATCCCCGTTTTAGGAACGGTTATTTCAGCTAACCCAACATAACGAGAAGATTCAAAAACTGTTTTGACCAAAACAGTCCAAACAAATTTTTTCTAATATCAAAACATGTTCCGGAAATGGGAAAAAATAAGGATTGAAACTACTCCAATGCAAAACAGAGGGTCAGTGTAGATCTCRAATTGGAGAACTACCAATTTCTCTATGCTAGAAATTTATCATAAGAAAAGGTAAATCAGTCGTGAAACCCACTCTTCGCTGCTAATTGTTTCTAAGTAGAAAACTGATATCCCAAAAATCAACAAAAAACACATCGTTGGTTTATTTCCTATCCATTGCCTTACAAAAAAGTATCGAAACTCAGCAAACTAATAAATTATCTCTGCGAGCCTATACTTTTAACTTATGTGACCTCAGCAGTAAATCTGTGCAGCTGTGGCAGCTGGGTATCGTTTATGCCCTGTGAATTGTGGCACAACAAATCTGCATATCAATGTTTCTGTCAAAACGTGAAATTTCCATTTGAATTGATAAACTGAGATTCGCTAACGCCACCACTTCCACRCCGCTGCCACATCTTTTGTTCCTGACGAAACATTGCTGCTGCTTGCTTTAGCATCTTCAGTCGAAGCCAATGTACACGGCTCGGTGTGTGCGTGTGTTCAGTTTGTTTTTGTAACTTTTGCATAAATTTCAAAGTGGATCGAAGAACTTCGCATTTCATTGCGGCTTAACATAAAGTGCGACGGCTAAAACAGAGCTCCGGCTGGTTGGGTGGAGCCACAAGGAGGTTAAGCATCGCTGAAAGGCAAGCAAMAGAAATGCGTATGTATTGGGAGCTTGAATGGATTTGCGGCCTAATCCGAAATTGATACGTTTCGAAGGCGACTCTACGGCAAAATTTGTAAAGGATTTGAGATTTTTTTTTTTTTGCTTTGTCGTTTAGTTTTATCGGAAATTGTGAATAAAATCAATTGAATGCTTAAGTAAATTTTAAGTATCTCCAATAGGCTTACATACCATACATATTTCGGTGGTTAAATTGGAGCGCAGAATATTTACTACAGTTTAAATTAATGTTTCTATGGATTCAAACTTCACTTAGACCTTTTATTAACGATTTAAAGCGTTTAAAGTTTGACGTCAATTCTTTTAGCAGCGCTAAAGCCCATATTTTATATTTAAGATTATATAAGCAATGAACTGGGTGGTAAATAATAGCTTTTCTTGATTTACAGTGATATGCTTGAACTTAAATCCTTGGATTACATATTCTGATAGTGTTTCATAATACATATAGTGCGTGATCCAAGCAAAGGTCCAAAATAAATATTTAAAAGRCAGGAACGGCAGAAACAAATCTTTGATACACTGAACCAAAGTAARATAATAAAAATACATATATGTTTTAATACATATGTCAGTACGTATAACTCACATTGCACTTTCAGCGTCAAGCTGGAGCTACGCGTCTCTCCTTCCGTATTAGCCGCGCCGCAAGCGTAAGCTCCAGCACTCTCGCGCGCCAACTGCGTCAGATGTAGTATCTCGGTGCTCTCGCCGGACATACGCATGCCCTGTAATGGGAAAGAAAGTGAAATGTTGAACCGTTATAATCAAACGAAATCGATAATGAGAAGTATAAAAACGAAATGAATTCAAAAAGAAAAAAACATGCACACGAACAAAGGTGAAAGCTTAAATATGGCTACCTACAATAATCATTTTACCGCAAATGAAACTCGGATTCGCGCACAATTTCCTTCAATTACGGTAAATTTTTTTATGAATGTAGGTATGTATGGCACAATCAGCGAGAAAATTGCCGACAAACGGTTTTCTTTTATTTAACCCATAAAGCGGTAAGGAAAGCGCTTAAAAAAGCAATGAAATCGCGGTGGAAACGAAGGGAGGTGGGGTTACAAATTTGGGCCTCATTAAACATGAAAGCCGCCAATCGGACGGCTGTGTAACCGCAAGGCCTTATTGCTAATACTTCCGCCGATWCGTGCGGCGATAAAAACGCTCAAAGGCTCCACTGTCTCCTGTCAACCGGGAGGCCGTCTTTTATTTAATTTCCTACTCAATTAAGCATCATCCGATTTAAGTTCTATTCGTGGCGCTTTCAATAAAAAAATTTTACCGGTTTTATTGAATAATTCTTTTATCATATTTATTTTTATTTTTTCAGCTTAGTCATATTTTCATTTTGCCATATTTTTTCTCCTTGTCATCAAAAGCTTGGCGCTCTCCCATCGCTCAGCATGTTGCCATAGTTCTTATTGCTCGCAYTTATCTGCATTCGTTTGCGCAAACACTCGGGGGGCTTTTGTCAACATGTGTTCCGTACAAAATTTTAATGAAACTTTTAATATACTTTACGGCATAACATTTATTAAATGGCGCATCAAACGCGAATTGACAGCGAAACGATGTTGGGGTTGTCACTTTTTATGAATTGACAGTTTTGCGATGAAGTTGACTTCCTTCTTTGAGTGTGCATTTTTGTKAGTAGCCGGCTTTGAAATCTTCCTTCTCGGGGATTATTAATCAGTATTTTATTGTCCCATATTAATTAGCAATTAAATATAGTACACGCCTCTACTAGTACTCAAATATGACCCTGACTGAATGCAGCTTAAAGTTTTTGATGCTGGAAATACAGAAAATAACGGAAGTACCAAAATGACCAGAAAGTTTCTGCAGGCGAGCTATAGGCATACAAACTCAGCACTACGTAAATACTTTCAAAATAGCAAAAATTTATCGAGCAAAATGTTAATAATTTGACCTAACTCGGATCATTCTAGCCATTCTCAATAAAATATTCCATTAAAAGTAAAAATGAAACGCGATGAATAAGAATGTTGTCTAGTAAACAGAAATGAGTCTAAGCAGATTGCCAACTGGCAGGCTAAAGATGTAACTCACAAGTAACCTAGGTGGTAGTTATGAGTTGCATGACGAAACTTAAGGTTTTTAAAGTTAAAATTTATTTTAAAATTAGTATAACGAAAAGAGATGTGGTATTATACTAAATTTTTAAAGAATAAGTAACAAAGTTTCACAGGTCCACTAAAGGTCTTTCGTAATGCCAGATGGAGGTCGTCGCTTTTTCTGAAGTTTAAAAGATACTTGTTATTCTTTATAACTTAGCCGAGTTCTGGATAAGGCAGGACATAAGCAGAGCAGGTATTCCCGCGTCTTCCTCATGCCTACTTTCTTGTACTTTCTACATGTGCCATTCTTAATGTCCCTCCGGCTCGTATGTGATGCCCTTAACAGACCTGTGACTAGGCCAATAACTGYCCTGCAGTCTTTTCGAGACCGTGTGAGTAGAAAGTGCGCTTCCTCCGGCCCCTTTTAAATAATTTTGGACATTTTTCATGGCCCTAWGGCATCTCAGCTCACTCTGACCTATCTGTCAAGGTTTTCGGAAATTTCCTTAGCCATCGCTTTCAACGATTTGTGTATTTCTTGAACTGGGTGGGTAGTCAAGCGGATGGCATTTTGGCAAGCGGTGCAACCCAGTATGTGTATAACCATTTAGCAATTTTATCTACTGCCTATCGAGCTATGTCTGAATGCTCTTGTGAAAGATTCACCAATCGGCGCCAATATTGGTGGCGGTCTATTACCCAAAGCACCGTAAATTAAGATTGGTTTGACTACCGCTGTGTAAYACCAATGCATAAGAACAGGTGATGGAGTCGAKGTTGACCTCAGCAAATTCTTAGATGCTTAGAGAGCACTACTGGCCTTTTTTACCTTCTCCTCCATATTAAGTTTTCATGTCACTTTACTGCCCAAAATTACTTCCAGTTATTTGGTATGATCTTTATTAGWTAACTTGACGGGATTTTGTATCACCTTATAATGAGTGCCCTATCGTCTTACTGGCATGTATTGCTTCTGGATTAGCCCATATGCCCATTGGTATGTGGCTTTTGCAGCACTATTCATTACGCGACTAACTGTATCTAGAAACTTGTTCATCTCCACTATAGCTTTATCAATTTGGGTGTTCCTCTTTCAAATTGTCTCAGAGGCGCATTAGTTATATGTGACCACAGGAGAGACGACAGTACACCACTACTGAGGAGTGAGGAGTCCGAGCAATCTGGCTTCSTTTAACTCTGCTTTTATTCATGTTACAGTGGCGGGTTCTATCCCGACTGCTTCCAGACTGTTAATGATAGCACCATTGGAGACACTAATACAATAGCAGTACAATAATAATAGTGAAKGAGTTTCTCTGCGCAAATTTACACAATCTCTAAATCATGCGATTACAGTTGGAGCTTTTATACTTTGCTCTGATTGCCATTKTCGTTACAGAAATTAGAATTATTTWACTTTTCAATTGGATTTTTAATAYGAGATACAAATCTTACACATTTCAAGCTAAGATCAACGGTATTACATTATAATACTTCATTTTYCATTGTAATTTCAAAGCATTTATTTGTATTTCCTAAGCACTCTGTGCGCTTTTTAACAATAAAAACTACTGAACTCACATTTTAATTATTTTTTTACATTAAGACACTTTTTTTGCCACACACACAATATTACTGAGAGCCATACAATACACTCTGTATAATGGTGGGAACTTACAACACGTGCCGTTAAAAACACTCACACACACATCTATGCAATTTCCTGAAATTATGAAATAAACAGGCGATGTCTTTATTTGTGTAAAATTTAAGCCGGTGTGCTGCTAAAGATTAGCTAACTCAGTGACACCGAGCGCGTGCGACATAAAAATATACACACCTGTGTGTGGGTGTGTGTGAGTGCGTGTAGCAAGTTAATTGAAGATTGGCTTTGACTTTCAGGGAAATTATCATAAGAACGGCAGAGCAACTTGGATTTGCAGCTAATGCATGCTGATGCTGTTGCCGCAAAAATTCTTGTACCGTTAATGCGCACGCCAAGGTGCCGAAGGAGCACAGAATACAACGCCACACAAACATCCAATATAAGTTGGCTTAATTAAAGTCAAATGCAGTGGTGCGAGCCGAGMAGTCAAAAACCGAACGCTAATGAATATGAAATTAACAGTTATGGCAGGCAAGACGCCGTCGCTGAGCTTCTTAGCTGTCTCAACAACATTGTTGTTGCTTGGCGGTTAAGCCTTATAAATGCTTTTGGACAATCATTGATGCAGATTGTGAGGTTAGCAGCTTTTTGGGTAAGCAGGCGAGTATATATGTATGCAATAAAATATTTGTAAGTATTTACGAATGTGTGTGTGTGTGTATGACTAGGGCTGAGTTCAAAAGCCGGCCATTTAGCTGCGAGCCAAGCAATTTGTAATTGTGAGAAACAAAAATATGGCAACTGTCACAAGCACACATCCCATCTGCACATATATATGTATATATATATTTTAAGAAAGCAGCAGCATCTATTCTTAGCGCACTCCCCCGCCAAGCGCCTTTGTCACTTCACCATGAATGCGCGCTTTGTCTTCGGCTCCGACTCCGGCTGCGGCCGAAAACATGCAAACACGCCCCAATTAATGTCGTTTTTCATTAGGGAAACATTTTCGTTAACCAAATGACAAAATGAATAAAGGAATGCGCACACAGAAAATGGAAAATGAAATAAAAAATTACAAATAAAAATGAAAATGAAAATAAAGATGCGCATAAGAAAATCATACTTGAAAGGAGAATGAAAATGAAATTGTCTTGTCAACATTTCGCGAGCTACTCCTAACGCTAGTTATGCTTATTCTAATCATTGTTGTTGTTGCTGCTGCTGTGCTTCACTGGAATTCAGTATTTGTTGCAAGAACGCCTATTCTGCGCTGACAATTTTTTGGGCGGCGCATAGCACCCGCGCAATTTAAAATGAACACACGCACACATGCATRCATACATATATAYATAAGCACACATAAGCGCACAATCGCTCTGCGCACTGTGTGACCCGCAGTCGTTCCATATGCACGCTTCGATTAAGCCGCGCTGGGCTTTCGTCGCTGCGTTGGCCTTCGTCTTTGCTGCTTCCGCTGCTAAGCAGCGACCAACCGTTACTTGCGCTTCACTTCATATGCCACTCAGCAACAGTTTTGCGTTTTGTCATTACTTTCCATTTTCCGACAACACGAAATGAATTTAATTTTCCCATTTGCGAAGCTAGAAAAGCAACCAAGACACCACACACACACACAAACACACACAGGCGCGTGCACATACAAAGCGAAGCGCTTGCATGCAAAGACAAGCGCGCACATGCAAAAATTTTAATACACGCTCATACACAACTACATGCCCCCACATGCCTGCCAGCCAACATAATTTTTTTTAAGACACACAAAGAAAAAGGTTGAAAAAATTGCACACGTAAAATTACTCATACGGCAAGGTGTCCCATTGTAGCGCTTGCTACCGTGCGCATCCCCTTCAGTGAAACTGGTGATGGTGGTGGTGGAAGGCAAGATAAAAAGTTGTTTCACATCTTCAGTCTCTTGTTTGCATAACAAAAATGCTGATTGCATGTGATTTTAATGTTAAATGGTTAATTTGGGTAAATAGCGGTTTTAATGTTACCTCGGAGAACGCGC